TGTGCTCACAATGGACTGATCAAGTGTACAGGTCTGGAACCAAGCAGAGAGGAATCATGTCCAATTCTTCATGCTTGTCTTGCTACACATCATCTTCTTCTGCAAGAGGCATCCAGATGGCCTTCTTGCCGTTGATGGGCTGCATGTCCGTCATGGCTTCAACCATGATCAGAAGTTGAACCTACATGGTTTTCCTCCAGAACTTTCCAAGGTGATGCTTAAACAACTCATGTGTTTCTGGTTGCACGCAACTGCGGTATGTCCCGCATCACAGTACTTTAGGCCCTCCGGAATTGATGTTTCTTCTGACCTGTAGGAGCACAGAAGGCAGCTTCATTTGAACCCAGGGCCACAGACTGGCAATGAGCAAGTCAACGCTCTTTGCGCGTCTTGGCAGCCTAACACTCATCTGCATACAGGTTGGCTCCCTAGATGGGTTTTCGGGCTACAACATCACTTAGCTGCCCACAAGTTCACATACACTTGAATCCTGGTCTTGCATCGCAAAGACGGTTCAGTGCTGCAGCTGGCCGTGTGGCAGACGCGGGCTTTGAACATTCCTTGGACATGGCTGGATTTTATCATTCTATACTTTTATTGCGAGCGGAGCGAGCATACATTGTCTAGGGGGTGCAGCCCGGGACCAAACAAGTACAAATTCCACGTAACACAGATGATTACTCCGTGCAATGGCTGTAAAACCCGCCCTTAAACACATTCAAACATATCCCGATAATCTCAGAAAAATAACCATAATTCTCGCAATGCCAAAATACACCTCTGCGTGTGCTATTTTGACCTGTGTTGTACGATGTTTTGACGTTCTGGCCTCGAGAACAGTGGCTGGTGCGATGTTCAACTTTAAGCGCTCGCTACACAACTGTGGCCACCACATCTTTGCAGACCCTCATTCTTTCAGCTTTACATATTGGTGTCATTGTGCAAAGCACTTCTTGCTTCATTGTAAAATCACCTTTGTCAATGTGTCCTTTGCCATGAGTCTTCAAACCACAAGGCCATCAGTAGCACTGTGCATGTGCTACTATAGGCCAATAAAATCCATAAAATCCTCAACATATCCTGGCTTGTAGCCCTCTTACTATAGAGTCTATTGCTAGTATCACCTTCTCACTGACTTCAGTACTTGGGGCACAAATCACAAAATAGAAAATCACACAAATGCCTCTGTTGATATGGTGCTCTGGGTCAGGATTAGTATAATACTTACTTCGAAGTAACCGGTTATTTGCCGACAGAGAAGCAATGTTAGAACATTAGTTAATACGTAGAACCTTCTCCAATGAAGCCGAGTCTTGTAGTCAGTTGAAGTTACTTAGACCTTACTAGTAGCACAAGGACTGTACTAAGTAAGGTCTCACAATCACAGGTCTTAGAGTGCGTTGGTAAGAACTCAGTGAGAGTGGTCGAGTGGCTAACTTAGCACTTGGGGCAAAGCAAGTCTTTGTGTGGCACACAAGGTGAATTTCAGTAAAGAGTGTAGATTACTGGGTATTGCTGAAACATGCTCTCAACCAATTGACAGTAATTGCATTGTACTTATTTAATGGACCCTTACCAACGATAGTGGAGCTCTAACAATAGCTCATGAGTTGAGGCATATAAGGCAAACTTGGCATTTGGAGATATTCCCATACCATATCCCCCCTTGCCTCAATTCACTAGCTTGTGATTCCTCAACTCTGCAATGGTCAGCACTTTCCTTCAGTGACTTCCCTGTGACTATGAGACCTTACTGAGTACAGACCTCGCACTACTAGTAAGGTTTAAGTAACTTCAACTGACTACAAGAGTTGGGTTCATTGGATTAGGTTCATCCCATTGATTGATGTTCTAACATTGCTTTATCATTGGCAATCTTTTATTACCGACATTTTAGTAATCACTCTACTGGACTCAGCACCACTGACAGTTCATCTCTATTTACTGAGTATTGTCTACTTTGGTAATCTTTGCAACAAACACTTCAACTTTGTTACTACTCCTCTGTAGCAAAGGATACATTCTCTACTCTGTTGCTCTGACTTCAAGTTAACTGATTACTAAGAAGTACATATTCTACTAACCCAAGCCCAGACTCCAACAGATAGCTTATATGAGGCTCAGCAGGCCTCAGGTTCTGAAGTGTCCATGTCCTTTCAAGCTCAAGAGGCCCCACATCCATATATTCCCTACCCAGAGCCTGGCTCTGTAATAGTACATCCTGATCAGCCTGAGGGTCCTACATGTGGGCCTGTCAAACATTGGCCCAGAGTGCTATTGACCCAGAGCTGCTGCAGGTGGCACACCCCTATCCAACTCCCTCTACTACTTCTGGAAACATCAGTAGCATGCAGCCATCAGTTATCATCATCATCACTGCAACCCTTTTGTCCTGCCCTGCCAGAAGTACTAGGAGAGGCACCTAGTGTTGTGAACATGAGATCCATCAGTTCAAATATTGTGCAGACACATCAGGTGTGGTCACAGGCTACCTGGGCACCATCAACAAGTAAGTCATTACTTTCCTCATTTCATTACATATAGTACTCACTGTTTCATGGAGGCTCATGGGGTCCTCCAGCTGAGTGGGAGGCTATGTATGGTGGCTTAATGCAGAGTATTCAAGCAGCACCAGCCCAGCCAACTTTGCAGGACCTTACCCCAGAGGACACAAAGGCTTGCCATCAAGCATACTCACAGGTTGCCAAGTGTCTGCTTGAGGAGTACATAACACTCACCATACCATTCCCAGATTCTACACAGGTCAACAAGTTAGCTGCCATGCTCACTCAGCTGCATGAACAAGAGCTTGACAAAACCACTATAGATCCTGACAAGTAATGGTTTGCTGCATGAATGTGGCCAAAATAAACAAGCCAATCATGCTTCTCCCTGTCCTTATTCCTGGACTACAACCTTACAATATTGACTTCAAAGCAAGCACACCTCTATGATTGATGTTGCACAATTCAGTCATCTTCCAGTGCCCTGGTGGACTGTACTCTACCCACCAGCATCTTTTTACCAACAGCACCTCAGATGTGTTAATAGCTCTTGCTGGCACTGCAGCAATTGCAAGGTCTCAAGGAGTTTGAGGACCTTGGGAATCACAAGAGCTGAGACTTCACTTGTGAAGCATTCTGCCTGCAGAGTCAGATTCTCATGGCATTCATTTGAGATATCAACACTTTGGATGAGCACAATTCATGTTTTGAACATCTGGGTCTCAACATTGTTTGGTATGGCAGATATGTGCAACCTTCAAATGGGACTTTAGGTGTACTGACTGCACCAAATGATTGTGTCTCAGTGGAGCTGATGATGCTTGAGCACTGATTCAGAATAGAGTCAAGAAATAGGGCCAAGAAGGCTCAATGTGATGTGTTGTGTATGAATATCTTAGGTATTCAGATCCAATCGTAACAAGTACGCTGTGTCAAGTGTGATGTAACTGACTGACTAATTGAGTGATTATCTTGTACATAATTATTTTCATGGTTAGCCCTAAGCCAGCTGCAAGCCAACTGCAGATAATTACACTTACATTTTCGAAATGAAAAGATCACCATCAATCCCACTGCCTCAAGGGTCCCCGTAACCTGGTCCAATAGAATGCTAAGCCATCTGGACCCTTGAGATCAATCATTCCCAACAAATACACTGCAAGTTGATTGTGATTTTCCACAGAGAATAGAGAGGTAGGAAAGTTGAGCTTTCTGATGGGTGCCCAGGGCAGGGCGGGAGTATCACAGAGCACGTTGCCCTGGTGCAGGATATGGTGGATGCCTGCGAGATGGCTTTGCAATACACAGAGGAAGTTGCAGCTTAACATGGACTTTTGTTTCCCACTTCTGAAGAAAGTTTGGTTCCCTCCCTATCCTCGTTAGTTTGGATGCGAGTCTCGACAGCGAGCACGTTCATTACCCCCACAGTACAGTACACGTGTCGCTCGTTTTGTGTTTCCGTTTCCTTTTCCCACTGCACCTCACCCTTCAATTGCCCATCCCGCCCTCGCGGCTGACTCGGACATTGACAGAACGGATACACCCGGACTTGCGTCGGAGAGCCAGCGCGCCCTTCGGGCGTGGGCTGTCGCCCATCACCCTCTTTTGCTTTTGTATATCTCACCAAGACTGGATGGCTACATTGATGTATTGTATGTCATTGCTAATTCGTGCGCAATGCACGTATTGCATATTGACCCATCTGCATGAGCTGTGAGGAACACCAAGCACATAGAATCTTGAACAAGTGGGAGTGTTGAACTTTGACTGTTTCAGGTGTTATCACACGGGACAGGACTTATCCTTACCCGTTATGGACTTATGTTCTACTATGCTACATTCTTTTTGGATTTGATCCAGACCTGTAGCACATGATTAGATCTAGACCTTGGAACATTACACCGCTTTCCGGCATGTTCCACCACATTCCTTGATTGCATTGTATTGCATCATTGAGCACATCGCTGTTCCAGTCCTTTCCATGACATTCCATTCATGGTGCAATATCACCTCATCCTTGTGTATTTGCTCATTGCACCATATTGCTCCGTTATGACTCTACACTGTTACGCTTACTGTACGATCATGTGATGGCTCTCTCATGTGTATATATACCGGGCTGGATACACCCTAGAATGTAACAGTCTCTCCTCTCATCTTACGCCTCTGAGTCTTCCCTCTCAGCTCTGAAGAGATCTGTTGTAAGTCCTCTGTTACTACAGTGCTTAGTTTGCTTCTGTAGTTCTGTTGTAGCCTTGCCTCAGGCTAGCCACAGTGGTCCTTGTTCATCATCATGGTAAGTCTGTCATGGGATATCATCAGTCCTGTCCAGGCATCTGTCTGTGATGGGTTGATGTATGCAATGGAGATGGTGGTACTATCTGGCTCTCTGTTGAACTGGCAGGACCATGTCAAGTCCATTTAGTAGGAGTAAAGTAATTACATCTTCTGAAGGTCCTTCAAGCATGAGAAGCTAGACAACCCTTTGTTCACAAATCACTGCAGTTCAGACTGCCTGAACTCCTCTAGTTTTTCCCCATCCATGCTAGCTTGAAATTTGACCTTGGTTTGCATCCCCTGATCTACCCAACGATGCAGGGCACCAGCAGAATAACAGGTGATGGATCTCCTGTCTTCTCCATCCTGTATGACTGTGTTGGAGTGCAGTAAGAGAGAAGATGGGATTAGGATGCTGGAACCAGAGGGAAAGTCGATAACCAACTTGAGGACCCATAGAACCAGTTGGCCACCCTTCTTGGGGTCAAAATCACCTAAGGCCACAATGAGACACCAGCCCCATGCCAGATTGGCATAGTCCCTGTGAGGAACTGTCACCGCATGTCTTGATTGGGCAGAGGTATTGACAGTCTTGCCTGCCCATGTGAGTGGTCCATTGCCTGGCGGGACATTGGGTACCAAATCAGGGTACCGGGCAAGCAACATCTGGAGGGTGCCTTGCATGTCGTTGTGCAGAGAGGGGGCCCAAGTCTCCATGCAAGAACTGCCAAATTGCTGGAAGCGCTGCCAAGCTTTGGAGCAAATGAAGTTGGCGATGACTGGGATGTTGGGATATCAGAGGATTTTCACGTTATTAATGGTACAGCCGACATACATTTCCGCCGTCATTACAATCCCTGAGGTACAAAGGAATCGTTCTTATGACTGGAGGGCATGAAACGCCTTACAGTGGCGCCCGATATGGAAGGAGTCCATGTGACTTTTTGAGGCCCAGATAAGCAAAGATAAGTAACTGATACTAATGTCCTATTAGTGGGACCTAAAATTTGAAACTCCCAGACAACGCAACTTGCACCAACAGATACAAATAAATGCTGTGGCTGGCTGCACTGTCCTGGGGTGAGGGCCCATGAAACACCTTCCAGTGGTGCCCAATATGGCAACTGGTGGCTTTCATCATGTGACTTACAGGCTGGCTGGCTGCTGTGGCCTGCCAGTGCTCACACTGTATACAGTCAATTAGTAAGTAATCATAGTAGACATAGTATGCCCATCTGATAGCCATCCATTCAAAGAGTATACAGTAATATTCCTAAGCACTTACAGTGGCTGGTTGGGCTGGAAAGTGCAAAACAAAAAAATCTACATGTGCCTCTGCATAAGTCAAAGCACCTCTGTCTGCTCCAGATACTCACTGAATCATCAGGACAGTGACCTCATGCAGTTGAATGACTTTGTATATGTCAGTTGCTTCTGTGAGACAGCAAAGATGAGCAATATTGGGCAATTTGACCACTAGTATGCATATTGCTTATGTGTCATGTCTATCACTGACTTGTGTCATTTATGATGACCAACTGTACCTGTTTAGTTTCCTAATATATTATCAGGATTTTGCGCATTTTTACAAGCTCATAACAAGCCCATTTGCCCTGTATCAGCTGTGGTTTCCTTATTGGGCAGGTTGCCTGCTACTTATGGCAATACACACTTGTTGATCAACAAGTCATCTTGCAGTGTAGTCTCCCATACTCTGTTGCAAACTGCTGCAAAAAGTAATTGTCCTTAATAGGATTCACCATTCTCAGCCCAGCAACAAGTTTGATTGAATCCAAAAAACCTCGAAATATTCATGCTAGTAGTCCTCATACTATAGACTCTATAATGGGTATCAGTTTGCTGTAGTGTCCATTACTCATGCCACAATATGCAAAACAAAAAGTGCACAAGTTGTCATGGTTTTCTTTACTTCATGCACATGATTCAAATAAATAACACAGCATATCCACATTTTTAGACCCGCTGGATAGTGAAGTTGTATCATTGCTAGACTGCTGAATAAAAATGCAAAATTGGGAGATTGTATCCAGGGCAACTTTCATCAGACATACAGTTCATAAGGTTCCTTAGATAATATATATGCAGGATAGCAATGACACTCCCTTAGCATACTGCTACTTTTGGTCAAACCTGCCCTTTTGAGTGTTACTGCTCTTCCATGGCCTTGATAAAATCAAAAATACCCCAAAAATCCACAATGGTATGTGTCTAGATGTGATCTTGGGTATCACTTTACCATGTAGCTCACTAATGAGGGCCCCATTTGCACATCAAGCACAGAGAATTCCGACTAAATTTGGTTTCTCTCCCACTTATCTGATTCATATAACCATATAACATACTCATAGACATTCCATCAAAGTATCTGGCTACTATATGGGGCAGAAGGATTTCCCTGTGAGTTGGTGGTTTGCTAGTTGATCTGAGCTCAATAATCATTACAAAATTAGGGCTTGACAATCTTTGTGGTGTTGCTTCACAACAGTGATAGCTTCTGTGCAAGTCATAAGACTGCATTTGTGTTTGCAATATTCAAGGTGGCTACTACAGTGCTGCTCATGTGATTTCTGATAAAATATTGGTTGAAATAACTGACAATGGCTATATAGTGCTGTACCAATATTGACAAGTTGAAACTTGTCAACAACTTCATGCTGCCCATATTGCTTCTTGCGGCAACACCTCTATGTAGCATCCAATGAAAACCATTGAGTGTTCACTGACTTCACTACAGGGATTCCAGCAGCTATCTGTGTTGTACCAGGCAAAATGAAGCATACTTACATGTTGGATCAATACTCTATAGGTACTACCACCAGAATACATCTCCAAATCCCTATTCTGTCCAACATATGCCTATATCACCACATAAAGGGTCACTCAGCATTGTGTAATTTATGCCAATGTGCATGCCATCACTCAAAAGCAAAAAGAAATTAATGGGTAGAGATTTAATGAGAACACTGGCTCAATAGGGGAAGTCATAAATACATATTCCTGAGGCAGATGGCCTTGGAGCTCATGGAAGGAAACCACATTGTTTTTTCATTAGCAAGTGGCTGTAACCCGCCTCCCTGCAGTTACTACAATACATCACTACGGACACTTACCTTACACAAACGTCACGGTTCCGCACACATACCCGTCACCATTCCTTCATGTTACATAAGCAATTCCCTTCATGTTCAGATTCACACCTTCATTGTCCTTTAGTCTGTACTATTGCGCGCAATGAAGGTATGTACTTCAGTACACCACGATATGCTTGTAGTTATGAGTGGTGTTAGGGATAGAGGCTTGATAGCCTCAGAGCGCACAGAAACTCGTTAGAAGTGTTTACTTACTGAGTGGCTGCATCAGTGAAGGTTTGTTATGTGCTTAGCTTACTCTCCTTATCTTTCCTTTATTCCACTGAATGGACATCAATGTAGCACTTTCATTGGTTTATTACCGAGGTATTGATTACTGATGTTTTGATGCTTTAGAAGCACTTGTTACTGTATCTACTAAACAGACTATTACCGAGTTTCTAGTGTGTTCTTACTCATTATGACCAGATGCTTTCAGTACTGATACAAGAGCTAGTGTATTCTTGGTAAATGATGGTTATCACCAATCAATTACTGAGTCATAATGGTTTTGTATTGGCATAGAAAGGAATGGCTGTGCGACAATTACCAAGCCATTCCCGAAGCTGTGTTGAATGGCTGTGCTATCCTTAGGCTGTACATCGAAAATGCGGACTCTTGCATGCCTCGGTAATGCCTCGGGAATCATAGTCCTGAAACAGTGGCTGTACTAGGATGACTCGGTAACATAACTTGCCTTGTTGGAAACAATGAAGTGTAAGGCTATGATCCTATTGTTCTCCTAGAATGGCCTCTGAAGCGGTGTAAATGAGTCAAGGACATGTACTATACACTTCTACGACACTCCTTGATTTTCTGTATACTTCCATGTAGCTCCATTGGCTGTGTCCTCGGGAATGGCATAAAAGGCCATTCCCGAGCACGGTCAAGGACATCTATCTTCAATTCACCATCTACTCTTCACCAAAACACACCCTGTGTGCCACTCAAAGTCTTACTTTGTCCCGAGTGCTAAGTTAGCCATACTAGCCACTCAACCACTCTCACCGAGTTCTTACCGACGCGCTCTAAGACCTGCGACAGTGAAACCTTACTTAGTACAGTCCTCATGCTACTAGTAAGGTTTAAGTAACCCATTGACTGACTTCACAAGTTGGGTGCAGTAAGAGAAGGTGCTTAGTCATCATCTACTTCTGTAAACTTGTTACCAACATCAATAGATCTCTGTATCAACTAGTTCTATACTAGCACGTCTCAGTGGCATTACTATAATTAAAGTGGTTAGCCTAACCAGCAACTCACTTGACACTAAAGCAAGCCTTATAGCCATCAGCTGGCTGAGGATTCATTGCCTTAGTGAGCCCCGCTTGAAGCATGGCCTTGCGCTGCTACATTAGGGTTTTGTAACTTGCCATCATCACTGTGCAGTCAAAGCTAGCTGTTCAGACTTCCATTCAACTTCTGTTGTGTGACTTCAAAACCGAAAAAGCCCATTCCTTTGGAATCAACCTGTGGATACTAATCCTCTGTATTCAGACTTCATCCTCTATTCTAAAAAGCTCTAAACCTCGGCAATAATCCCCATTCATTGCCGACTCAAATCCAATCTTAGCTTACTCTTCCCAGTTGAAGAGCGGTACTGCATACTTGTATAGCAGCACTGACAAAAGTCCCACCCTCTTTTGTAGTTGTTGTGGATCTGGTATCCTCATTACAGCTCAACTTTGCGCCGTCTCGGTAATTGCATTGCCGAAGATTACCGAAGATTTTATTATTTTTCCTGTCAAAAATTTAAAGGTCATCATTGTATGCTTTCATTGTACTATTACCAAGATATTTGGACACTGACATTTCAATGCTTTGAAGCACTTAACGATGCATATACTATCTGGACTATTAGTGTGACTGTTTCCCAATTTCTGTTGTGTTCCTGCTCATTCCAGTTGTGATAAGATCCTTCAGTACTGATATAATTGCTGTTGTACGCTTGATTAGTGATGATAATACTAGTAATGAACAATCAATTACTAAGTTATAATGGTAGACTATTTTGGTAACCATGTCAAGCATTATCAGGGTTTTCACAACATCTTACCACTTTGGATAGCTCAAAGAGATCTATTTCACTGAGATTCAAATCCCTATTGACAAGGTGATTAACTCTGTGATCAGATGTCTAAAATTGAAGAGATATGACAGACGGGAACTCAAACAGGGCAGAGAATGTAAGAAAATATGTTCATTGACATCATCACTCACACTTGGCAGTTCTCTTATGACATCTGTTTGATCATCAATGGTTGATTGTAACATACATATATGAAAGCCATCAATTTGCTGATTGTACTGTAGCAATCAGTGACTGATAAACACATCATAAGGCAACCTCCCTGTGCTCTAGATATGTCAGGCACACACCTAAATAATGAAACCATATGCCTGAGCCCAAGGGGCAATCATATGCAACTCAACTGTTCTGACACCACGTTGGCATGCCTATGCACCCTCTAAAATGTGATTTTACATGTGACACCATCATAACTGTTCATGACACCAATCAGCAATAGCATCTGCTGAAATGGAGTGACTACTTGCAATGAATGCTGCTAGATATATGACTGACTCACTTGTGCATTCATTACAATCATGTAATTCATTTTGGATAATACTTGTCAGCTACCATGC